TCGAAATTTGCGCTGTAGAAGGGCATGGAATGAAATGCTGCAAGTGTCAGTGCACTGTAGTACATGCCAGTAGTGCCAAAGGCATCACTGTACGTACTCATCAACTCATCCTTCGCAATACGCCTCTCCCAGTGCGGGGGTAAACCATTATTTTGTTCGTTTTCCAAATACAAACCCTCTAGTTTATTCTTTTCACCATCTTTACATTCGTAAAGCCTCTTGAGTATTTCAAGAGTTTCAGAGGAATTCATATAGAATTCTTCTCCACCGTATTTACCTCCTGGAGATAAGAGACCATTTTTGCGGGGTTCTATCATTCCCTGTGTTTCCATAACTTCATAGTCAAATCCAAGTCCATGCGCAATCTCATGTGCAGTTAAGCGAATATACTTCCGTGTTGCTTTTATCTCATCTGGGATAAAGCTGATGACGGCAGACGTTGGTCGGTTTTCTTCATCTTTACTGCAAATCTCAACATTTTGGGGTTTGGTTGAGAGAGCCACATAAATTATAAAATCAACATCAAGAGTTTCATGCGCTTTATGATCCAAGGGATTTTCCTTAATGGCACTGCACTTTTCTGAAATAGAATAAAGTTCTTTGCTTCTGATATTTAGACTTTTTCCCACCCGTTTCACTTTAAGGCGATCTGTGTGCAATTTGATGGCTTTGGGCAAGATATCCTTAAAAAGAATACCCTTTTTTTGCGGTGTCATTTTTTCATGATCACCTCCATCGCAGATATCGTCAAACACTCCAAGTTCTTCTTCTTCGTCTTCTTCATCGGATCCATTTTTACAGTACTTTATGATATCCTCAAGAAGTTTTGTATACACAGCAATGCGGATGGGCTGCCATTCCTCAGTAGGAGCAGAGACGGTGTACGCCTGTAGAGCATTCTGTCCTTTCTGTGGTAACTGCTGCACAACAGCAGCCAAACACCCGCAGCTGCAGTACAACAGGAACAGTGCAGCCCACAGCAGGTGACGCATGGAGTGTTTCTCCATTTTGTATTTGTGTGAATGTTTTAGTTTGTGTGTTGCTTTGCTAAGGTACACACAGTAAAGAAAAAAAAAGATAAAAAAGGGAGAGAAAATGAAAGATATGCATGAATAGATATTATATTGGATCTAGCAGAGAATTAAATACATGTATACATCAACAGTAATACTCTTAGAAAGAGAACAATAGTAGTTATGCCAAAAAGTAGAATGAGAAAAGATTTCAATATACCCTCTTGTGGTACACATACGTACCAACCGAATCAACAACAATGCATTGTGAGCAGATTTGGTGTTTTATGGTGTTTGTAAAAAATGCAGGGAATAACAAACAGTCATAATAATGAGTGCTGTACTGCCTTTAAACAAATGGAAAAGATAGAAAGAACCCATGGAATGAGTGAATGATAACATGTGTTAGATGTGTCCTTTGTATTAGAAAAAGACTGTGAAACTCATGCTGGACTAACCCACTAACTCCACTTGATAATAATTTATTTTTTTCTTTTGCTCATCCATGTCAGGAGTAGAAGAGCATAATCAAAAAAAAAAAAAATACACATCAGAAGAGCCATAAAATAATAGAGGAGGGGATCATATGAAATATCCCATCAGCTACAAAAACACTCCTGTACTAATTACCATACCCACAACACATACACAGAACACTATCTATAAGAGCACTACTCGCATTTCCAAGAGAAAGCAACATGTACAACACACTGCTTTTTAACTCTGTTTATTCAGTATAGATCTCAATTCAGTATTACTCCTCAGTTATTCACTCCCTGTAGTTGTTTTTGTTGTTTTTTTCCCCCTGTAGAATAGCAGTAATCCCATGCACATGGAGTTGTATACGCCTCCTATTAATACTCTTTTCAGTAGGAATGTTTTTCCTCTCACCACAACCGAGACATTCATTTCCACTTGTGTTGTAGTTATCAATAAAAGGCGTATTTGAGGGTCCAGTGGCAATGTACAGCATTATATATGTGTCTTTAACACCCTCACTGGTGTGAGTAGGTGGAACTGTGAAGTGAGAGCAAAGAGTTGTGTTGAATCTCGGCACCTTGAAGGGAGTTTCCAACTGCTTAACGAGAAGAATATCGCTGTGTAAATTGATTGCTGCAGGAAGAATCTTATTGAGAAGTGTATTCTTCTTATCCCCACTCAAAACGTCATCCTCAGGGCAAGAAAGCGTAGAACCCATCCTATAACTCTTACGTTCATCGAGATGCCCCCTGCAGTACTTCTTCTCGTCCAGGTCCAGTGATGACACGTTGATGCGGAGTGGCTCCCATTTATCAGACGATGACACAATGTGTGTCTGATGAGATGCACGATCTCCTGCTCTCGGCAATTCTCTCACCACCACCTTTGCAGGGGGATCCACTCTTACGCGTGGTATCATTTAAGATACAGCGTTGGTGTTGGTGTTGGGTTCTGCCGCACGGGATACGATACTGCTCTAAATGAATAGCAGTACTGCAGTGTGGAGAACCAGGCGCATCATGTTGTTTTTTTTGTAAAATAGCATTGTTGTGATTAGTCAGATTGAGTCTACAAATGAAACAATAAGAGAGAGAGAGAGAGAGGAAGAAAGAGTTTATAATAGAGAACGGTAGAGGCTTAATGGCATCATGCAAAGCAAACAGACACCCGTATTGTGCAAGAATTAACAGCTTCACCAAATTCACGTGGGGTCTTGGTCCATCTCAAGTAGAAGGAACAACGCAATAATTACAATAAGAGCCCATATATGAAATTTAAGAGCCTATATGAATATAAATATCCGACGGTTCGCAAAAAAAAGAAAAAGAATGTATATTTTATTATGTTTGTCATTCTCAAATACCCCTTTGTATGCTGATTCAGCAAAAAAAAAACAAGATGAATGGTAACTTAAAATTGTAATCCAAAACGCCAAAAAAAGGAAAAAAAAAGATTAGTATGATAATAATGTATATTTGATACCGCTATTAGTTTCTCCCTTTCAACGGGATGTTGGCTGTTGAGCTTTCACTCTAGGGTAAAGGGCATCTTTCACTTTCC